TAGGAAATACAAGGGGGACGCTTTGAAATGCAGAGCAATCTTTGTTGAAAAGCCATAACTCTTAGAAGTTCTACCATACCCCTCGCCTTTCCCTAAACTTTGAGCAAACTAGTCATACCCTGGATAAAGTCTCGTATTCGCCACTTTCGTAAACATCACGTGACAAGCCGAAGTCGGAAACCATCGCAACATTCCTGTCTCCAAGAAGCACGTTTCTTGCAGCAAGGTCACGATGAACACACTACCAAAGAAAACCAAATAGAAATAACTAATTATAGGTTCCTTAGGGTTAAATAGAGCTTTTCAGTATCATCACTACCTTTTTACTTGCTAGGTGAGACATTCCACAGGCGACGTCTCTTGCAATCTTCAATTTGTCGACGCGTGTGAATCCGACAGATGTTATAGAATCATTGTAGTATGGATTTTCTCTGTTCTTCTTCAGTTCGCTTAGCAAACAGCCATTTGGAGCCAAACTAACAATCACCAAAATTGATTCTAGGTATTTAATCAAAAGTAACATGTTGGAGGAATAAAAAACTCGAGAAAAGAGAGTTAATTGATAAGATATTTGTTCTGTTGAACAAAACTGAAAGTATGCTTTCAGGAAGACAAAAGGAAGGCCAAAAGTCTTTAAAAAGTTTTTCAGTAAATCTAGCAGATTATACAACTACAGTAACCACAATAACAAATTTTTCTCTAGAATAATTACCAGACTTGGTACACGCTCCAATAAGACTTATGATATTAGGATGTTCACCAATTGTGACCAGGATTTGAAGCTCGTTGAGCAAGTCTTCCTTCTCTTTTTCTGTAGTATTGGCTGAAATGGAAAGTCCTCTTATTAATTATATTAACACCCTTGCGTTATTAATATTAATCAATCGATCAGTGTAGTGGGACAGTCGATCAGTTAAACAGTCGCTTCGTCAGTCATTCAATGAGACGGTCAGTCAATCAATCAATCAATCGATCAAACTATCAGTAAATCGATCCCTCAGACAAACGAACAACTATCGAATAGACCAAATGAGCCGATAAACCTGTTGACCCATTTCCTGTTAATATTTTAGAATACTATTAAATTAAAATCCCTACCTTTAAGCTTCTTTACTGCACATGCCCTAGCATTTCCCTTTATGCACACCACGCCTTTAAACACTTCCCCGAACGCACCTTCCCCCAGCTTATGTTGAAGGATAACATCTGATCTGCGAATCTCCTCCCAGTTGCGACGAATGGAAATTTCTGTCTGCAGGAAAAGAGGAAAATCAGCTTCGTCCACTCAATCCTTTTTAAATATTTAAACACACTTACCTCATCATAAACTTTATTTGGCCTGGAATTGCAATTTGATCCAAACTTGAAACAAACAATCACGATGAATATAAATGCTAAGCCCAGCGGCAAAACTATGATCAGCATTAAATTCACAATAAACCTGTCTGGAGAAAAGGCAACGAACGCATTAGTTTAGAAGTGGCTACGAGAGCCTAATTGTAGAAGAACTCTCTAGAACAGAAAGAGGCATGATTGATTTATATTTTGGATATTAGAAGAGGCTTGCACAAATTTATTTCATTCTTTAACGCGATTAAGATAACTCAGATTAAAAGACAAATGTTTAACAGCTCTGAGACGTAAGATAAATCTGCAGATAGTTTGTATTTCTCATCAGGTTTATGATGATTACCTGGCAGTGTGTTCTGTGTTAAAAATACACCATCTGACCTTCCATACATATTGTTGCTTGATAATCTAAGAGTGTATTCGGTAGAGGGTTCCAAGTCATTCATAATCATTTTGGACTCAGGGTAAGGAACTGTCTTCGCCACTGAAACGTTCTCCGATCTTGATGTCCATCGCTCTATGGTGAAGCTTTGTATTTGGTGAAGGCTGGCATTTACTGGCTCATCCCAAGTCAATATCAAGTATCTTGTCTGCACATTCTTTACTGTGAAGCGTCTCGGAGGAGGCGGTAATTCTGGTGTACGGAGAGGACAACGACAAACGCATTTAAAAGTCTAATGAATATTGAGACAGTGTAATTGAGGTAGTTGTCGCGATTAACAACAGTCATTAAAGTCTTTTGGCGGCGGCGGTTTTCCTAAAGAATGAAAGACATCAACAAAAACTCTGAAAAGCCTGGTGCTTAAATATAACCAATATTTTTAATTTTTTGTCTTCTTTCTTAAGTATTTTAGGTCATTTAATTGTCAAGATATGCTATGCATGATTTTTCATATACGTGATATTTTGCGCAGATATAAAGTGACCATGATTGATTATGTCTGTCAATATCTTTCTAATTTTTTTTTTTTTGCTAGTATGGGTCAGAAGCAGCAAACGTTTAATAGCCTATAAATCTATTGCAGTTATCTCTCAAGCGATCTCTTACCCCTCCCCCACATCAGTGGCTAACCTTTACTTCTTGGAGGACAACGAGATACGTTGCAATATTCCCATCGGACGTTTGGGTCAGTGGTATAACACCACGGTCCATCTGGGGCACTGCTGTCTGGGTTACGACACAGGTTCGAGTCATTTTTGGATTTTGCGACATCTTTAGGGATCCGCCAGTGACGATGAGGACACTGGGATTTCCAAGACTGACATGTACGACCAGACCGGGTGACGTTAACATTACCACGGTAACCAAGACCGACTCCAAAGTAACAATCTTGGATAAATAAAACGCATTTATGACGTCAACTGAGGTACTGCACAAAGAAAATAGTTAAAAACTGGGAGATAAATTAATGTTTGAAGTCATTTTGTAGATGTTGAACGGAGGCCAGGACACTAAATTACTGCCTCGGTTCCTCGTTTCGGTTCTGCGACGGGAATTCTCTGTAATCGAATTACATTTAAGAACAGTACATAAATGACTGACCTATGCTGTTTGTGTTGTCACCTGCAAGTGAAAAGAAACAGATTGCGGCATAGGTTAGGAAAGGACGAGCGAAATTATCAAACTCTGTGGTTTGCGTAGCTACTCAAGCTTACAATAATTGTAACATTGGGTGAAAAGATTAGACTAACAGCTTCAGGTGTTTTACTTTTGCATAGCTATAGAGTGTTCGCACTCATAATTCTAAAGGGATTACAAAGGCTTTAAAAGGAAAATGGGAGCTTAAGGCTCCTTCTCATTTCATTTGCCTGGAACCACCACCTATCAAATTGTATGACTTTACAAATAATAAATAAGATCGCTCCGGGGTGCTATTCTGTTCTGGTTAGAAAGAAAAAAAGGCGCCCGTGAACAAAACATACGAATGATGATCGCTGACTTCCTAAAAGAGTAAAGTATGACTTTGGAACAATAATAAACTCCCCGACGAAGGCTTTGGAATCAAATGGAATTTAGGGCGAAATGGATGGGGGATCAGTCTTCGCCAAAAAATGTAAAAGGTACTGAAAGAGGTACTTTTTAACAATTATTCGTCTCCGAAAGGAATTATTAAACACTATTCACGGAGCCAGAGGCGAATAATTAGTTTTAATGAAAATTTCTCAGGTGCTTTCGAGTTCTGTTGTAAATATGACACATGACACACTAGTCGACCAATCAGAGCGGACGCATCTCTAAAATCACTGCAGCAATGATAGTTAAGAATATTAACTGTCGATGAGGGGGGGGGGGTCTTAAAAATATTACAGAGCTTTATGAGGGGATCAGTAAAATTGTATGATGACACGACCAAAAATCCTCCTCACCCCCACCCTCAGGCCAAGTCTCGGCCTGAGATAAAGGATTTGTAGCAGTTATGTAACACTCACCAGGGATATCTGGCCACTCATAGCACTCAGGAGCATCCCCACCGTTAGCCGGTTGGTAGAACGAGCAATTAATCATGTTTGGGTTGAAATCTGGGGACGAACTCACCGCCATTTTGAGAACATCCGCCTCTTTTTTGCAAACATCGTCCATCAAATAATCGCATGAGCTGCGACAAATCCTGCGATCTGTAGGCTTGCCGAGGGATTCGTCGCAAGGCCGGAAGTGATAGCGGCAGTATAAATCTTTGATTATAGGCTGGCATTTTTCTGAGATGTCAAACCATTTGAAATAAGTTTTAAATGTCTCAGTTTCCACTTCTCCAAAATCCAGTGTCGTTTGGTTACCATAAACATACAAACTTGTGATTATATCCTTGCAAAATTCGCCTTTATACTCATAGAATATACAGGAAGCGTTTTTTGCGGATGCAGTAACTGGAGGAAATGCTGGAATGCAGCTAAGGATTAAAAAAAAAAAAAAGGAATAAAATGACTAAGCTGAAAAAAAATGTACAAAGGGGCTTTGGCACATCAGTGAACTGTTAAGCATACCAACCTCGCATTAGAATTCACTTGAGTGTAGTTATTTTCTGTTTATCGGTAAGAGAAAATAATGTTAATTATTATTGAAATAATGATGATAATACTCAAAGTAACATTTTCAATAAATTGATTCAATAGAAATAAGGAGGAAGATCTAATTTGATAACGTAATTAATTTTATTTTTATTTAATCCTTATTGATGGTTGTGCCGCCGAAAATTTTCTGCAGATGAAAAACAAGCCAGAAGTTTATGTTTGCCAGGGTAGTCCCTCCGTTTTCAGTAAAATTGCTGAACTGTGTTTAACACGTCTCACCTTGGAAGTCTTCACATAGAAAGGCGTGCTGCTCGCTACAATTGATACACTCCAGGAAAGGGTCATGGGTTACTACACAACAGAAAATCAATGGTTCCATAGACAAAGCTTCTGTGTCATTATAATTTTTCACAATATCCGTAAGTTTTCCAGCAGCAGCCTTTCCATCACTCCATTTCCAAGTACCATTCCTGTAACAAACGTATCCAAAACCGATTTAGAAACGCTGACAAAAGAAGAGAAAAAATGCAAAAGATTGAAAGGTTATCATGTTATTACCAAACCACCTCAAGCATAGTTTGAGGTGGTTGCATTAAACGATTACAAAGTCGCGTAAGTACGCCATGACAATTTCCACTCACCATATGTTGAGACCCATCCAGTACTTTATGCCGTTTGTATTATTTGATACATTTTTCGCCAACTGAAGTTCTTCGATAGTTTGAATTTTTGCAAGATGACTTCTAAAATCTTTTGATCTGCATTCTTTATCTGCCTCTGTGTAGTTTACTCTTCCATGGTTGGTTCGAAGACTTTTCGCATCAGAAAAATCTGATCGAGAGAAAATCAAAATTTTAAAATTAGTTACTTTCAACAGACTCGTCTTCATGTCAGTTTTCAAACTAGTAGGTGAAAATTATTGTAAACCTTACACAAAACATCAAATGCTTGACTCTTTTTATTCTGTGTTTCGCATGCAACTCTACACATAATACGTATTATTGTAGTAGTCCCATGGATCTTCAGCTGACAAGGATTCTGTCTCGAGCTTGAGCTTTGTAGAAATCCATTTTCAATTAATAGCTTTTGATTATTATCTTTCCTCCGCAAGAGTAAAATGTTATTATAATGTATTCTCATTCGGCTGTGAGTATAGCATCTGAAACAAAACGAAAGTAACTTTTTTCTACCAACCGGAACGAGCCAAGATGATGCTCAAGAAGGTGAGAACAACAATGACGCGGCCTTGAGTCATTTCTATGCTGTTAGGATGGCGATCAGTGCATGAACAACAATCTAGTGTAAAGATGTAAAGATAAATACGAAAATAGTTCGTTTAAATTTGATGCAGAACGAACGATTTATTTAAAATCGATAAACAAAACAAAGGATAGCCATTAATTGAATCAGCTCTATTCGATAATGTGAATAAACTCGATCTGCAGAAAGACATGCATACATCAATTAGAATCGAGCGATTACATAACGTCAAATTGTATTTTATTATCCCAAATCAGTTAAATTCAGTTACTAAATGGATATCATCGGCATAAACATGTTTCGAACAACTCCAACTTTTCTTCTCCAGTTTACGAGTATTTCGGCATTTCCTTTTTCGGGGCATACATATACTAATAAAAACCAGGATACTTGTAATATCCGTAGTGGCACTTTAGGGTTCACCAGCCCAGAAAATTACAAATGTTATACAGATGTCGTTTTAAATCATGTTTGCAGCGTGCGAAATGCCAATTTGATGAAGGGTAAATCTGACTATTCAAACACCACTGTTTGAGACTCGCTTTCTTTTGTTGTATGAGATCAGTTCTTCTTCAACTGAGTTCGTGTTAGGTTTCTTTGTGAAACTGAAATGAGCTAAAAACACGGTTACCATTGCTAATGAGACCAACTCAGTAGTGGAAACATACATGCAGTTGTTCTTCAGGGCCATTCTTGGCCTCATTTATGAGACTGATCATCCCATAATACAGCTTACTAAATTAAGGGTCCACCGCTTACAAACTTTCTCAGTTAAAAACAGGATAACAATACTCTTCCAAAGTACCAGATCAAATTTCATACTCAGCCCGCCGTACGTGACGTTTGAGTTACCTTAGGACAAACACTTCGTTGTGAATAAACTAAATGCAAATGTGTGCCACCAAAATGCACTAAACTTTTCACATACTTTGAAGTTCACAGCCTTCTTAAATCGGAGGGACGCTCGATAGAATTTTGGATGCAAGATAATATAACCTTTGTTACACGGCATTCGAGTAATTTTGCCTGCATGCCGGTATGAAAACCAATCACATATTTGAATACCTTTTTTCTGACTGCAATCTTCACTTATAAGGCTCTGACTGGCTCCGCTGACTAAATCTTTCCCATAAATTTCGACACGAAAGCTTGACTTGAGAAAGACGACGTCGGATTGCCAGTCAAGCGAGTGACACCGACTTCCTGTCATGACATTCTCCAGTTACAAAACATAACACAAGCTAACGAGGGTAGGTCTTGGTAGAGGCGGAAATTACATTAACTAATGGTCTCTGTGATCTTCTCTACTGACCTTGTCAAGAGTAAAATGACGCATTAATTAATATCTGCCTTTAATGTGGCAAACGCACGCAAAATAGTTAATTCAACAGTCCCTCAAAATATTTTAATTAACTTTTCAAGAGGCAAAGAAGTCTTTGCATTCAGACCCTCTCCAAAAAAACGTTGAGATTGAATCATGTAAATTAGTCCCAAGAAAGACAGAGAGATCAAAGTCATCAGTTTTTCTAATGAGATATTCAAATTATCCAACCACAAAGACTTCCTTTTTGATCTCGTTTGAGCTCCAATAAAACTGCGCATGCTCTGAGCATCTCAATAAGCTTTTCATATCTGTGAAGTTCAAATATTTGTTCTCCCATTGTTCAAGTGAACCTTTTGCAATTCGCTCGACCCCAAAGAATACTCATTTGATCCTCTTTGAGCTCCAATGAAACTGCGAAGGCTCAAAGCATCTTGACGAATATAGAGTTAGAATGGTTATCTTTTTACGGTGAGTGAATGATGAAAAAAATACGTTATGTAGGGAGCACAATGACGTAAATTTACCTCGGAGCCTAACTAATCTCAGAGCAATAAGTGACTTTAAAAAAGTCACGGCTCAATTTTTTCACTTCGTTGGCACCTAGAATGTTCCTTTTCATAAAAAAAAAAAAACACACGATTATCAGGGGGGTTGCTTTGGGTGTTTTTGAAGTCTTTTCCTCTTTTCGAATAAAGGGGGAAATTTTCTAAAGAAGCTGCGGTGCTGCGTCGGCGGAAGAGTATAGCAGGGTAGTTAAGTATTATCAACTGAGTTTATAATACTTAATTGGCCACCGTTAGCTGACGAGAATTGTTTAAAAGTTTAATTGAAAAAAATATCGAGTTAAAAATAAACGGAATCTTTCTGCTTATAACTCACACATAGACTTGAGAGTGACATCATTATCTCGAACCTTATTAGCGATGCGAATGAAAATTTACCTCCTCTAGAACAGTATTGTAAGGAGATGATTTCGGTAATCTGCTGAAATAAAGCACCAAAGAATAAGGCCTTGTACAGATTATAATCGTCTGTGGCGGTTAGTGTCTTTCGTAAATCAAGACTCTGTCAATCGTTTTTCACTTACAGTCTTCAATGTCTCTTCGGTATTTGTAAGCTATTTTTATCCCAGAAATATCTGTGCCGTATATTTGTAGCAGAGCGTAATCTAATATCACCAAACAAGAAGATCAAGTCCTAGCTGAGTGTCTTCACATAATTGTCAGTAGGACATTCATATGTCGTTTTGAAAAAGTATCATTCTTATTTTTCTGTTTTCGGGCGACAGTAAACAGGATTTTAGAACATGCTGAGGATCATTCGATTGCATTCAAATCCTGCAATCTGATTGGTTCTTAGTGCGGTTCATATTTTTCTTATCCCTACCCAAAAGCACGGTAACACTTCTGTGGTTAGCGGAGTACATCCCTAGCTTCGTTACCAGTTTTCATAAAAACATTTCATTTTGCCGGCTGGGCATACTTTCAAGAAAAACATTTTTAAGTAAATCAAGACGAGTAATAACTTATTAATCCTCTCTTTTCTCTCTCTCCTGTAACTTTGGTTGCCAGCAAAAAGATTGTTTTCGAGATCAATTTTTGGTAGCAAATGTGTCATTATTAAATTGGTTGACACGCAGCCTAAATCCGTTTGTAATTTACTTCAATCCTTCACAAAAAGTAACTCTTTGCGAGTCTGTTCAATTTGGTCATTTGTACCGTAATTTGCACAACAAAATCCGAAGGAATTCAACGAGAAAAAGCTGCATTAAATTCCATATGGTTCTCAAAAAGGTCTCACTGGACTTTAGTTCTTCAATGGAAGAAAGACCAGATTTACGTACGCCATTGCAGCAAACAAACGAGCAAACTCCCACAACTTTAAAGCATGCATTTGAATTTACTTATTATTACTTTCCTTGTCATTTACTGACTGAGCAGAGGTATTCTTCGTATATAAATCATCGATGGAAAATAATTATCCTTGACTTAAGATCACTGAATGTTTTTGAAGAAAACATTGTCGTGACAATCATTAAACTTGAGTTCGTTCGCAAAACCAGTACCTTTGTTTTTTTTTTTTCAAATGTGTACACGTGCTTTTCTGTCTTATGCTCTCTCTAATTGATATATGTCAGATTGTGACAGATTCTTGAGAAAAAAATTTTTCGAAGTTTGTTTGGAAACCTTTTAAATCACCTTTATCACTACGCAAATAAAAATATTTCGGTGAAACCTCTCTCTTAATTTGTATTACCTCTGTTTTAACTACCATTTACTCGCTCAAAAATTGAAGGATCTTGCAGTGAGCTTGTCAGGGAATTTTTTCTCGCTTTTAAAGCTAATCTTCTCCCTTTTTCCGTCAATTTTTTTACTAACAAAACGGGGATTTGCTCCTATCCCGATCTCAAAAACCCAAGGTTAGTGCACTTTTCAAACTCACGCGAGCCTCAAGCTAAGCTATACCCAATCAGCTATATATACGATATTTATTTCTATATTCATGTTTCGATATTTATTTATTCGTCCATTTGCTTATCTATGTATTTATTGATTTATTGTCATTTTTATCGACTTTGTCTGTGTGTTTATCTTTGAATTCACATGTTTTCTTTCTCTTTGCTTTGTTTCAATCTATATCTTTGGTTGCATTCCAGCATTTCCTCTGATAAAATCCTCCACAAAAAGTGCTCCCTGTATATTGTTTGAGTATAAAAGAAAACTTGGCAGAGATATAATCACTACTCTGTTGGTTTATGGTGACTGGAGTACATTGGACTTTGGTGAAAGAAAACGAGGGCAGTGGAAGACTTTTTAAAACTGTTTGAGATTACGTTGATGTGCAGACTCATAAGGAGCCCATCTAACTTAGATGGATTTAATTGAGTTAAATTCCTTTGTTTTCTTTGGTATCTTACGCTTGTGTTCATCGAGACCTCGCGGCAAGAGACGTGCTTCTCGGCGACGGGAATGTTGCCATGGTTTCCAACTGTGGCATGTCACTAGATGTGTACGGAAGTGTTGAATACGAAAACGTATCCGGGATATGGCCACTATACTTAATCCTTGTTTTCTGAATTGCAACTAAAGTGTCTTTATCAGTTAATTATCAGGTATTATAGTTCTTCCTCTTGACTAGGGAATATTATACCAGTTCATTAGGTAGCTCTTGAGTCTTTGGAATTCCGCATATACAACACGAAGACAATTGTGTAAGTTGTATACCGTAGAGAACTGCAGGACATTTTTGAGAAGTATCTCAGTCTGTTCGCTTCATATAGTTTTGTTTGTCATTACCTTTCCTTTTATAGACTGTTTCGATCTTGATGCAAAAATATTCGTTTTTAACCGACCTGCGTTTTAAAATGTCTAAATCAAGCAAAAGTTAAATTTGTGTATGACTAATTTTTCTGACAGGTGGTCATTTGGAATACTATAATGGGAGATTGAGTGTGGAGGTAAAGCACTTACTTGAATAATCAGGAGAACATTTCGGCCATCAGTGCTAATGCAAATATATTTTTAAGAATCCCACATGAGTGGGGCCAAGAAAGGTTATACGAAGTTATAAAGTTTTAAGTCATATAGTTCCATATAAAATCTCTTAGTGGGTAGACATTTATCATAGATAATTGTAACTAATTTAACTAGGATAATTTCATGGTACCATAGCGAGAATGTCTTTTTCCACAAGGTAAAATGCTATATACTTGTCTTGCAACAAATAATCACTTTTTTAAAGGCAGGTCGAATTTTTGCACGAATGCCCAAACGCAATGTAATCATCTTTGAGCTTACAGGTATCCATTTTTGCATAAGGCTTTTATGAGGACTCATAAAACTGAAATCTTTTTCCGTTAATAGTTACAATATCATGATATCATGGTGGAATTTGGAGCCAGCAAGGCTTCCATTATTTTCAGAGCTAATGAAGTTACTTGAAAGAGTACTTAATTAATAAAAGACATAATACGATATTCATGTATTTACAATTATCAACTGTTTATTTACAGCTAATTTCGAGGATTGTGTAGTAATAATTAACGGCGGGGAGACTGGTCGTTTAAGGTATTCGCTTTACCATGCCCAGTTTAATGCTTCCTTCCTACTTAAACAACAGCAGGTTGTGAAATAACACATTTATGAGACCTTAGTCAGATGTGATGTCATTGATATACTTCAAATTAAGGAATGCATGCGCGAAAGAAAAAAATGACGCAAGCAGTCATAGGCCAGCCAATGAGTCATCTATCGGGAGGACCTGTATAGAGTTGATCTTTGGCCTACAGATAACAACAAGAAAAAGTGTTACAATACTAAATAAACAATAAGTGAAATTTTGCATTAGTTATATTGTTTCACTTTATCATCTTTTCTATCCTCTTTTGTTGTTCTGTTTTTATCTTAATGCGCGATTTCGTTTTTCCATTCACAGAGAAATCATTCTTAGAGGGGTCTTTTAAAAACATCAGATCAGATCCTGAAAAAAAAATCACGCCAACCATTTGAATTAGCAGATAAATACTTACATTCCATATTCTTTACAAAACAAATTTTATTTCTATTGTTTTCCTTGATTTATTTTGAAATACAGACGACATTTATGTTCCAGCCAGGGTTAATCAACGATCATGGACAAGATAACTGGATTTTTCTTGCGTGAATGGATAACCTAGCTAATTTTCCATATATAAAAAATTAACATTTCCATTTTCTGGTAACAAACCTTCCTGTTTCTTTCAGCAAGTTTATTTTTTTCACTTTCCTGCTCCAGA